CTCCTAACATTGGATTGTACTATTTTTGCATTCAAATGCAAATGTTTATTTTAAATTCGACTAATATTCATTCTTTACTCACAATCTCCTCATCACAGGCAGGCACAGCACTCATGTTCGTGTTTGTGTGTGCTGTCTGTGTCACTCATAGCACATGCATATATCGTGAGCTATATGTAAAAAAAATTATTATCGTTATCGAAGAATGTGTACCGTCGATAAACATCGATACCGTTTTATCGCCCAGGCCTACGCTCACACTTTAATTGCTTCTATTCTAGAACACTTGATGATTATCTAATCAAAATAACAAAATATGGCAGTCGCACACCTGGCAAAAAGCGCAGAGCCACACGGAAAGCTCGCAGGTATCGGGAATCACACACCAGACGCGTCACATTCAGTTCAAGTGATGGTCTAAAACAGTTTATTTAATCACCAAACGGGTAAAAGTTCACCTCAAGAATGATCAAAAAGCGGCATAGATGAGTTTGAAGTTGAAGTAGATGAGGTGGTTAAAAAAACTGAGCAAAACGTAAAGAAAAAAAATTGCGATCTATATTATAATTCTCTATGACGCATACAGACTTTATTAGAGCCACAGAAACACAGACGTTTCGCTGAAAAATACACAATACACAATTTTACAAGTCATTATGTGCATTAACAACGATTTGGGAAAAATAATTTAATGGAAACTTGCGTGTGGTTTAACCATTTGAGGTGCTGCTAATGTTAGTGTCCTCTTAGCCTTGATAGCAAACATACTGCTGTTATTTCTCCACTAATGAAGCGCATCTAGTCAACAAATTAATTACTTAGTAATGATATGCAAACATGCACTACAGTATAATGTGTACACACCGATTAGTTGTCCATGTTTTAAATCTGCATCTGAAGTGTTTGCTCTGTGCAGCATGCAAATCGATGGGATCATATTGTCTACACTCACTGTCGAATAGGACATTCCAGACTAACCCATAGTTTTCTGTTGGCGGGTGAAGATCCTCCTTTATGTTCTTTATGCCAGAATCCATTATCTTTGAAGCATATTTTGATGGATTGTAATAGTTTAAAGTCTGACAGAACTCATTATTTTTCTGTTGACTTTTATGAAAAGATTTTTAATGAAGTAAGGCCAGATTTAGTTTTAGAATTTTTATCTAAGATCAAATTAAAAAACTTAATTTAACTTAACTAACCTGGTTCTCGCCATGAATATAGCCAAGGTAGCTTGCATGGCGTTAAATCATAACCAAACAAACAAACAAACTGTGCAGCGCGCAGCCTCATGTGTCAAAACAAACAGCGCGTGCTGTCAGTGATTTCCGCCTCTAGAGGTCGCTCTCGTACTGTATAATGACAGCGGAGCTTCTCAGCCTCTTCAGCAACAGACGCAACCCGGAAAAACTACCGGCATGTATTTTAGCTGATAGTTCTAGCAATCAACTATCGGTGCCGATTAATCGGCAAAACCGATACATCGGTCGACCTCTATAAGCAAGTGTATGAAAACAGACATGAATGCTTTGCCATGCACAGTGCAAGTGCATGGCTTTGGTTGTACAGTAAATGCTTGTCTGTTCTTGTTACTGTGGCTGTAACAAACCTCAGTACTCAAAGGAACATTAAGTTTTATTTAGAAAATATAAAAAATGTAATGTTATTATTCAGGAAGCTAGTGATAAACATAACAGTTTGACTAACTATAACTGACTTGCTTGGGTAAATTCTCTTCAAACTTGCTATGTCAGTAGTTGATCTGAAAGACAAAACTGACTTTTCAGTTTACACTTATGCAATAGCACCCCTTGTGCCAAAGCTTGAAATGCAACAAATACTTGAAATGTGGTCTAACACATTTTGGAACATGTGGGCTTGCATAGCTAGAAATGTCTGGATACATAAGCAGATTTTTTTGTGCTTAAGGTTTAACAATCTGATACATTTAGATAATGGGATTACATTTTAAATAGAACTGTCCATTTGATCAAATTGTTTCACATTACAACTTTGCTTTTCATTGCCAGCTAACGTCCTTTGACAGAACCAACATGGATGCAGCTCAAATAAGATGTATGTGAACAAAATATCACACATGTGCTTTGTACCGTTTAAATAATGACTTAAAATGTGACTACTATGCTACTTTGTTTTCTCAGCACTTGAGAAGTCAGTGGTATCGTGGGTGAATGATCAGGATGTGCCATTTTGCCCTGATTGTGGGGGCAAATTCAACATCCGCAACCGCCGCCACCATTGCAGACTCTGTGGGTCCATTATGTGCAGAAAGTGCACAGAGTTTATTCCTCTGCCACTGGCATGTGAGTTACACGTGTATAGATATGATAGATTAAATGGAAAGTACTATACATTAAGATTTTCTTCAGTAAATCCTTTGTCCTGCCTAATTTGACTTGCACAGAATGGATTGCATATTCGTTATTTTATACATTTTTTTTCTAAAAAATAGTGAGTTGCCTTTCTGTATACTGCCTGCAATTGTCAGATACAAGACAGCATTCTGACAAAAAAATGCAGTCCAATATGTTACTGATTTGGGAGAGTCTATACAGTAATGATGGGAGGTCCAATTGATTTCTGTGAAGCAGTTATTTTGGAAAGTTTATTTCACATGTGAGTAAAGTGACATATCTGACGCAGTAACTCATGGTACCTGAAATGGGGATTTCGTGTTTTTGTACGTTGGTTTTGTAAAATGTTAAATATATATTAAAAATCAAACGTTAGTCAGAGTCATACCCCCAAGTCTTTAAGTATGTTTAAATATGTTTGCGTATTTGCTCCTTTCGGCTGTTATAATAGTCTCAGTTTCCTTTTTCCCCACCAGATAAAATAATCAAGTCATAAACATATTTCTTGTATGACTTGTTTATACATTACATTTTGTCTCCTCAGTCAGATTCCAGACAGTACATTTATAGTATCCGCGCACTCATCGGTTCTCAGTATTTCGAATATTACCGAAAGAGACTGTTCAGTGTACTGTTGCTTCAAGAACTGCTTCTATCCAAATTGCAAACTGGTTGGAGCAGTTCATTGTAAAGAAGAGTTAGCAAAAGCAGATATCACTAGACGTTAGAATAAATTACTTTAGAGTCAAAGTGTCAGAAACATTTGAGAGACCAGTTAATTCATTGCTGACACGCGATGCAAAGTATTACAAATGATTCAGTTAGATTTGGTGTACTGAATCAACATGTTTGTTCATGATCCTGACATCACTACTTCATAGGCAGAAAATGGTGTTCTTCACATCAAGGGGGATTTAGTGCTTGCCTGCAGTAGTTTGATGTTTATATTTCTGCAGGTCTTAAAATGCCTTAAAGCGGGGGTATGCAAATATATACATACATTGACAGGCAGGTAGGAAAGCGTATCGTAGCCATCGGACCGAGGGAAATATTGGATGAACATTTTATGGTCCTACGCCTTCCACAGAGTATATAAATACATATAAATACATTAAGACCACTTAACTTAGTGATTGCTAGCGGGATGTGAAGAGACTTTCAACCAACATAACAAAAAGTGTTTTTGAACCAAATCACCCACCCTGCCTTTTCAGCCTTCAACAAATTAAGGATTTGAATTGGAGCAGTCATGGCATTATATTTAATGCCATGACTGCTCCCATTCAAATCCTTAAATTCAAATCCTGCATGCATAAAGTGCTGCTAATACAACTTTTATTGTGTGCTCCATAGACATTTACATTCAGAGAACATTTTTACGTATTGTGGTCCCTTTAATTTATCCCTTAAGTTTTCTTTAATTGGTGTTAAAAAGATATTTAAAAGATCTCAAAAATTTACCTTCATAAAACTTGCAGAAACCCTGACAATATGCTACTCTAATAAGTATAAATATAACAAACGTCTTGGGGAAAGTATTTATTTTTATTTTTTTTTATTTTGGCATTGAATGAAGTACACTTAACTACAGGTTGGTCATCCTGAGCAGGTAGGTCAGATTTTCAGGACGTACTGTAATGTGCTTTCAGATAAATTAACCAGTGGAACAAGGGAGGCCCTGTGGGCTCCTGGCCAGAGTGGGTCTCCTGGATCTGCAGGCCCAGTGATGCAGCAGACTTCTCGCCGCGGCTCCATCAACAGCATCTCATCTGTCACATCTGTGTTGGAGGAGAAAGATGAGGATCGTGTACGTTGTTGCCGTCACTGCATGGACGCACTACTCCGGCATCAGCACAAACTGGAGGAAAAAGACCACGTGCCCGATATCGTCAAACTCTATGAGGTACAAACTTTCTTTTGTAAATGTACAAGCATTTTTTGTTAAACATTGTGTTTAATTTTAATTTTTTTTATCCTAGAGTAAACATAAATGTGTAAATGACATATTTATTACAACTGTGTTAATTAGAAGTGAATGTTTTGGGAGACCACTTCTTGATGTTTTCAATGGAAAACGTCTTCTCTTTCTGAGTTTTCTGAGCGAAAGAGTCTTACCAGTTAGAATTGACATGCTACATATGCTAAATGGTATTATTTCTTATTTTTTCTTGTCAATATGAGTTTGGATGGCTTTATTATTTTAGCCACCTTATTGCACAAGTGGCAATTACATTCGCAAATGCTCCTCTATCACTGTCCACATTTTGATTTTAGCAAATCGCTTTGAGCGAATGCAGAGATGTGATTAATATTCATGAGTTCAGCAGCCTTTAAGCCCTTACTGTTTTGTGTAATTAAACATTGAATGACCAGTAATGTCTCATGCAGCCCATAGTTTAATATAACAAATATGCATCATACATTTTCATAATGCATATTAGACCATGCTGAACAAAAATCCTGAATAACTAAAACTATTGCATATAAATTCATTCTCTTTTGCATCTTTTCAGAATAGCATGCTTTTTTGTAAATTGTTTCATTAAATCCTTCTATACCTGTAAAGATTCCAAGTTTGTTGATTTTGCAGTAAAAACACATATTGACATAATTGCTTGTATTATTTTGTGAAACGTCTTTGGGTTCTTGAAAGGTGCTATAAAAATTAAACATTATTATTATTATTATTATTATTATATTGGAAGAGATGCATGGCAATTGTATCACCTCATCCACATGGGCCATTGGTGCTTGATTGAACCCTGATGATTGCTGCTTGCAGCTATGTATTGTTGGGATTGTAGCTCTTAATATACAGCATAGTCTTCTGTCATAGTATTGTTTGTTTTTGCTGTGCAGAGGTTAAGGACATGTATGGAGAAAGTTGAAGCTAAAGCTCCAGAGTACACACGCATGGCAGAGTCTCTCAAGTAAGCCCTCAAGCTATAAGAAAAGCACTACAAATGTACATTTGTTGACTTCTTTAATGATATTTTAATGCCTGGTGCCACATCCCAAACATTGCCAGACTCAAGTTTTCTCTGTATCGTGTAGTGCTGGGGAGACGACCTGTAATCTAGAGACTGCTGCTGCACTGAGGATGGAGATACTGAAATACTATGAGCTCCTTGATGTTCTGAGGTAGGCAACAGACTAAAGACACATACTGTGACGAGATGTACATATCTAAATCAGGATTCACAGAATGCATTTCTCTGGGGTGGGGGGGGTGGTTTGGCATCAGTAAGAAGATACTTGCGCTCGGGCTAAAAGACGAGGTCCAGCCTCACCCAAAAGCCCTGCAGCTGCAAAGGATGGTGCGCTACACAGCTACACTTTTTATACAGGTGAAATGTTTATATATACTTTTTAAATGTTAAACAACTTGACAATTTTCCGAGAGGTTTACACACTTATGGGTAACACTATATAAGGGTAGAAGCTCAAATTCTCCAGTCAACAGTTACTTTTTTACACCCGTAGGAGAAACTGTTGGGTCTGACGTCGCTCCCCACCAAGGAGAAATATGAGGAGCTTAAAGAGAAGAGAAGAGAGGAGCAGGAGAAAAGGACGCAGAAAGAGAGACAGGTGAATAAACCGCAACATGATCATTTTCTGTTTCTCATATCAATCCAATTTGCTAATCGGTTTTTCTTTATTTGATAAAAACTTAAGTGAATCATTGGTGATTCTGATGCCTCAAATCCAAAACCTTTTGAGCTTGAATTGTGTCACATGTGACCCATCTGAGTATTCTTCCTTGTTTCTCAGTTTTAGGGTTCCTTAAACCAAATTTCCTAGGAAACTTTTCTACAACAGTTTAATATCTCTGATTGTGTCTGCTGAAAGGTTGTATTCCGAGGGCACTCAGTTTTTATTGTGGGTTGTACTATCAATTTGATCTAAATCTATTAAAATCTGAGAGAACATGTTCTGACTGTTTAGCCAATGTAGCAAAGGAGGTTTGGTTTATATGGTAAAGAATAATAATCAGGAAAGACCTAGAAGGCTGCAGAATTATGAACCAGCAGAAGCTTATAGACTGTATGACATCCAGCCATATATATCCTTGCAATATATATGAATTATGCCCTATAAGTATGCCCTATCATGCGTTGCTCATATTATGGGAGTAACTTCCGTTAAACTTTAATAAGCAGTCAAAAGTTTGCACTATGAACACAATAAAAAGCCTTTTCAAAAACTGGGTACAATAAGGTGACATTGTTCTTCTCTCCCTTCAACCATCGAACATTAAAATAGGGATTAGAAATGAAAAGGGGGGACAGTTACATTTTAAAGCATCTTCGTGAAAACTAACCTGGAAAGAGACACAAGGATTTGGGAAGAAAAACAAGAGATTCTTGCATGCATTCCAGTGAATTATTCATTGGATATACTGCGCATTTAATCTACGATATGTGTTGTCTTTTTCCGTATTGTTACAGCGGAATACAAAGGAAAAATAAAAAAATCAGGAGGCTAAGAATGTAGCGTGAGGAGCTCTTGCCATTGATATTCTTGTTGTACCATGTCACATTAAAATATCATGTTATGTTATTCTCCTGACATCTGAAAATAAAATGTACAGCTCATTCAGTCAAACTGATGGATAAGGATTATATGTAGTGCAGCTTTATGACTTGAAATGATTTGTTTCAGTCTTTTGAATGGAACTTCCCCAAACCAGAAGTGCCTCCCATACTTTAAAATGCAGTAGGCTCGCTAGGAAAAAGTTGGATAGTTTTGTATAGAGCAGGGTTTTCAAACAGGTCATGGAGTCCCCCCACCACTGCACAGTTTGTATATCGGACACACCCAGTTCAGGTCTTGCAGTCTCTACTAATGAGTTGAATCAGGTGTGTTAGATGAGGGAGACATTCAAAATGTGCAGTGATGGGGGGCCTCCAGGACCTGTTTGAAAACCCTGGTATAGAGATACTTGTGTTCAATTTGACAGTTCCTCATTTACACAAATTGGT